AGAAGTGGCTTCCATTGTGTGTTACCTAGACTGACATATCCCACCTTAATTGGAACCACAGTGCATCCCAATCTCTTGGCTGATTCAGAGTCAATGAAGTTATGTGTACTACCTCCATCCAATAAAACTTGAATGTGTCTCTTGTCACTATAACCAGTAACATGGATGGTTTGAGCACCTTGAATTCCTGTTATAGCATACAAGGAGATGAAAGGCTGCTCACTTCCAGGAGATGACCACTCCTCACTTGGTGAATCAATCTTACTGTTGCTAACTTTATATATATATATATATATATATATATATAAAGTTATCTTACCCTAAGAAATCCCTGAAAAATGTGAAAAAAGACTACTAGCGATCCTAGTTTCCTAGTTTAATACAAACTCCATATTAATATATTTACACGGCCTTCGGTTTTATGACTCAAATATCATTGCTTCAGAAAACTGGCAGGCTTATGGATAATTTTGCATTTGACTGCTCCGCTTTTGCAGCTAGCAGATCAATTTTACGGTTTGCAGAATACGCCGCCTAATATAATTAACTATATTTAAGTAATAAAAAATATTTAAAAATATTTGTGATACATTTATTTGTTTGGTACTTATCATTAAATAAAATCGTTTAAAACGCATTATCACAAAACTAAAAATTAAAATAAGAACTCTTTTACCTGTTCATTTTAGATATGCACACATATTCACAGGTGAATCATATTCATTTCTAACTTGAGTATGTTAAAATATTTTCCTAATGGATGATAGTGAAAGTTGAAACGAAAACCTCTATCTATTACGATAACATCTTGAATCATGTAAATTAGCCCGTTTAAAACTTCGCCGTATTTTTATTGTATTACGGAAAAGGTCTAGATATGCCCTTGTATTATACAAAATTGAGCACATTTACCTTTCGTTAGTACTTTAGTTCATATATGTCCTTATCGTCACATAGTTGGTCCATATATACCCTTAGCGTCACATTGTTGGTCCATTCCCTTTTCGAAACGGAATCCACCCAAACTAATTAGCTCTTTCTTTAATTGTATTAAAGTGTATTACAAACACTCTTCTTTTTATTAGTACTTTTTTTCCTTACCTTTCTCTTTTCTTTCTTCTTTTTTCTTTTCTTATCTTTTTTTTCTTTTTCTTTTTCTTTCTCCCATATCCGATTTCCTCCATTGCTGATGCCTTCACCAATTTCACGTGAATTTATTCTTAAAAATCGAACCTACACCACCAAGAGCTTCCAAGCGAGAAGACTCTAGTTGTTCTGAAAAGGAGATGAAAATTGTCAGAGAAATTTTTTCAGTGGTGTTAATTTGGTGAATGTATGATATGGTTATTCAGATTTTGAAGGTATTATTCACTGTGGAGTTTTAGATCTGAAGGGAACAAGACCTTCAAAATCTGATTAATCATATCCTACCTTCGCCCAATTAACACCACCGAAAAAATTCCTCCGATAAGTTTCATCTCCTTCAGGTCAGAAGAACCTGTGGGGTTTGTGATAGTAAAATTAGCAGGAATTCATGAGTTTTGTCAAATTAAATTGGTGATGAAAATGAAAAAGGTATCAGCAATGGAGGAACTCGGATATTGGAAAAAGAAAAAGGAAAAAAAAAAGAGAAAGGTAAAGAAAAAGAAGTACTAATAAAAAGGAAATAATGTTTACAATACATTTTAGTACAATTAACGAAAGAGCTAACTAGTTTGGGTGGATTTCGTTTCAAAAAGGGAATATATGGACCAACTATGTGAAGATAAGTGCATATATGGGCTAAAATATTAACGAAGGGCAAATGTACTCAATTTCGTATAGTACAAGGGCATATTTAGATTTTTTCCCCGTTTGTATTATAGATCTGCAACTAATGGATTAAGCTGTTTTAAAATTGGACGAGTTCTCCGCAGTTATAATCTTTCAATATCTCCATCTTTAGCAAACAAAATTATGATTAATGTTACTGTCTTTCATACCCCAAAAAAAAAGGTATTTAAGAGAACCTTCACTTACGATACAAGCTGTGGTTAGTTCTACCCGTGATATATGTAGACTAACCTTACTTTTGAGTCTTTTGATCATGATGAATGAGACTTTTGCTTTTCATAAGCTCCATTCTTATCACTGGACCCTTTTTTACGGTCTTCTGAAATTCTAAAGTGTGGCTGTCCCAAACCTAAAAAGCAATCCAAAAAAATAAACAAAAAGTTGCGCAAATTAGGCTTAAAAGATTTAGTGGAGATTTGTCTCTCCCCTTTTTATCCTTGACCTCATTTTTCTAAAAAGACCTAAATTTGAAATAGGAGAGTCAACGATACAACTTTTACAAGCAAAAGCGATGCCCAATTTATTTGGATTCAACCATGGCATTCTAGAATATTCATTGATCATTCAACTTCTACATTTGTCTATTAAAAGCTCTTTCGAATATGTAATGCAAATTAATATTTTAGCGAAGAGTCACGAATGAGAGAAAATATACGATGAAGTTGACGTGAAAATATTTTGTTTCCAATTAATGAATAGTGTATGATTATGCTTATTAATATTGTCTATTGACACTCAATGAGTAGAGTTATCATATATCGATAGCAGAAACATAATAGAATAGTGGAGTTGTATACAAACTGATTCGCCGCCGCTACAAAAAAAAAATAAAAAATAAAAAAATTAATGCATTGTGACACTAAGGGCTGGTATCTATAAACGTCTGAAATGGGAAAGTGACGATAAAAGACAAAGCGAAAAGGATCCGAGATATTAGTGTCCCTTTGCTCAATGAAAAGAAGGATTCTTTAGCAAGAACGCGATAGTGGAAATGGATCCGAAGTCGGCAAAATGGTTCTCTTACTATTTAGAGAATGAACTACTTTTCCTTTGATTTTCATCTTCCCGTGCATTTTTAAATATTTTTCATTAAAAATAAAAGCTCAGTATTATACGTTTTAGGGAAAAAGATCAAAACTATCCATGTACTATCTTTGAACAATCTTGACATTCGTTAAACTTTTAGAGATCGTTTGGTAGAGGCGGATCCAGGATTACAAGGAGAGGGGTGCACAATTACAAAAATGTGATTCTAGAATTTATATTTGACGGGTTTAACCTTCAAGTTTTTACTATGAATTCATTACCATTTAGAAATAATAGATTAAAATTATTATTTTTTTCTTATAATTTTAGTGATATATATATTATATATGTGTGTGTGCGTATATCTGTATTTCGTATCAAAAATATTGGTATCATTGTACCATTCTACATGATTCACTGCTATTACTTTTAATTATATAAATTTTTGTGATGACAAAAAGGAAATAAAGGATTTCAATGTGTTAGATTTGAAAATTTTGAATGAATAAATCAAACAAAAAAAGAAGGAAAAAGAAGGGGAAAAAAAAGACTTAATTAAACACAAGAAGGGACACTAGACATGCCTACAAACCGAGAATTGAACATCTAACACAAGAAGGTGCCCTAAATATTTATTGCACAATGGAACTCTTTGAGCTTGGGTGCACACACATATATTTAAGCATATTTTAAAAAATATAAAATAAATATATATGGTATAGAGAGAGGAGCATGGGTGCATGTACGTACCCCATGCTCCAATACATACGTACGCCTCTATCGTTTGGTACGCGGATTAAATTATTCCCGAATTATAGTCCTGAGATTATAAACTCCGAACTAATTTATTCCACCTGGGAAGTGAGATAAAGTAATCCCAAGTTTGATGGAATAAAGTGTGATAGGTGGGATTACATTTATATTGTGTTTGATTGACGGTATAAATTTATCCTAGGATAAACTTATACTGTCAACCAAACAAAATATATATTTAATCACATACTTTATCCCACCTTATACCGCTTACCAAAAACCCCTTAGGCTAATTTTCCCCCGCCTTTAGGCAAAAGTCTTTGTTGCCAAGCTATTGACTCCTCACGAAGTTCCACCTAAGGGTAATCATAACCATAATCAAAAGTTACAGAAGTAACAATGGCAAATACGAGACAATTAACTAACAGAAAGAATAAAAATGAATCAAAAGTGTAACGTATTGCAAAATATCGATGCCTGAATTCACTAGAAAAATTAAATACTTGGACTCTTGTACTCTAAACGATATCATCCTTTTGGGAGATAAACTCTCAATGAAACATTTTTTTATTTGATAATGCAGATGCACCTCTTTCGTGTATTTTTGGTATAAATGGATCTTTTGCTAAAAGGTAAATGCATTTACTTTTGCTGATAAATTGCCTCCACTTAGAATGGTACTGTTGGAGGTGTCATCCATAAATATTTTTGATGGATCGCATAAATCACTTCCAACATCAGATGCTTACTGCGCGCTTAAAATCTGAGGTGAGGCTCAAAACATGTTGAACGCTTCGTCTCACTTAATGAACGCTTTAGTGTTGTGATCAAGGCTCTAAGGCATACTTTTCCTTGCTAACAAGTATAATCCAAAACATGTGACACTAAACATTTGATATTTCACTTTATTGTAAACTTTCTTCAATTTCTTTGTCCATATATGTGGTATTCATGTGTTTTATAGATATTAATCTTAGACTACATATACATATTTGAAGTTTTTCTTCATTTGCGTCTTTCTTCATTTTAACCCACGTTTTATTTGCGCTTTGCGCTTAAAGCCCCAATAAACCATAAAGCTTTTTTGCGCTTTCCGCCTTTGATAACACTGGTCTCGACTTCATCTTACATTATCAAAAGGAACTACACCATACTATCACTCATCAGGTAACTCAATGACACAGATTCGCATAATCGCAGAGCTTACTAATGTGATGCACATTCCCTCTTCTCCACCCCAAAAAAGCAAATTGGAAGGCAAAGTAGATTATGTGAAATGTCATAATCTTTTGAAATATAGTTCAGCACACTGGAAGGATTAGAAGATCAGACGTCTTTCATGAACGATGTGGGTGAGATAATGAGGAGGTTCTCACATAAGCCAACAATTCAAAGTTCCTTTTCCTCCAATAAGGTAATATGCCCAGAGAAGACAGGTTTTTCAATACAGGGCTCGTTACGACGAAAGGATCTATTAGCATAAGGAGCGCCAGTTTAGCCAAATATGAATACATATATTACCAGGATTTCATGTCAAACAATGATTTGATCTCATTTCTAGCCTAGTATATACAAGAATATCTAGCCATGACGAGCAGAATTCCTAGCATTGTACATATAGACATCCTTTTAAACATTTTCCCCTCCCATGTTGGGTGTTTGACTGCTGATGAGGGATCACCTTCAAGCTCAATGGGAAGGACAAATCAGAAAAGACCACACCAACACTCGTATCAAAACTTCTCTTCCTATTACCAAAGCTGCTGGTTAAACACAGCCTGGAGATTAGAGCCATTGAAAGAGGGACAGGACACAAATGACCACAACACACAATGCAGTAAGTCACTCTGAATGAAGGGATCAAGGTTATCAGTGTGTCATTACCAACTATAAGGAAGTCCTTTTTTTTTATATATTACACATTCTGGTGCTTTTCAACAGTTGTACCGTGCACTAAAATCTACTTCAACAGGTGAATTCACCTTCTTGGCAATCTTTAGTTAGTCCAAAGGCAATTCTGCATGGAAAAATAAACAGGCATATTATGCAATATGTGACGTAACAGGTACCACACTGCTTCGCTCTTGGTTAAGAACATCAAGAAGGATATGAAAAGGATAAATACCATGTAAAATAAACCTTTGTAAGGTGTTGCTCACCATCAAAAAGGGGGCAGACTAACAGAATACGCCACTGAAAAAGGATACATAGGCACTTTTTATTAATGCTTCAATTGCCTTGCTTGTAATGAATAACACATTTCGACACAGTACCAATGTCCCATTTCATTGCACTTCAAACTAATGTCCCACGCAGAATAACTCTTGGGATTTCACAAACAGAAGCACCCACATAAACCCTTCAATTACTCAACAAACATTTGCTGAATAAACTAGAGACTCATAAACCCATCCAAAAAAGATTGTCCCAAAAAAAGAAACTAAAACTTACCATTCAAATACTACACACGCACACCCCAGGCAGAAAAAAGTTCAAAAGACTTGGTTACAAAATTAGAGCCTCATAACAACTGCAAAGTCATTTAGATTGCACGCAAATAGATAATTTCTCTATATCTGTAGTGCTTCCAAAGGAAGAGAAACATGCATTTAGCATCAAATGGTATATGTTGCAAATAGTAATAACGATAATACCAGTAAGGTCGCATATACAGATGTTCATTTTGGATACCAGTTCAAAGGTGAAGAATGGTGCAGAGACTGAACTTCAGAAGCGAAATATGCATTAACCATCAAATGGTATATGTTGCATACATATAGAAATAAGCTTTAACATCACTAAGATCAGATATACAGATATTCACTACGGATACCTGTTCAAAGGTGAAAATTCAGCATGGTACAGAAACTTAAAATGAAGCTGCTTTATCAGATCCAACCATTCAATATTCACATGCCAAAGTAATTTCCAAACATTGTCTTGTTTAAACTTCCTAGAGTGCCTTAAACACAGAATTCCAGAAACTGAACAAGAAGCTGCTTTTCTTAATCCGGTATGTGCATTTTGTTGGAGTCCCTTCAGAGACATCCAATAAACTAAGTGCATCCTTTGTTGGAGACTACAGTTCAATATCACATGCTGAAGAATTCAGCTAATTGTGTCTTGTTACCTTTCTACAATAACTGAAAACAAACTAACTACATTACCATCCGATTCCATCTTTTTCCCCCTATCACACCTCTAAAGATAAATACGGAATAATTGGTTTTTGTTTTTTTTTNTGCAAATTAGGCTGCCACAATCACTGTTGATGCAATCTAAACATCTTATGGAGAAATGAAGTATAAGTAGCAAGCTCCTTCTTCCTTCTATCCCAAAAAAGTGAATATTGAAACATAGACAAGTGCATTAACCATGTATTTAAGAAATGGTCCATCCAATTATTAACCATCCTGAAAAGGAGCAAAATACTTGCCAGACTGGTTACACAGCACCAGTCTTAACTGTTGGTAAATTATATTCAGGGTCTTAACATTGAGAGATTCAATGCAAGTTTAATGTGGAGTGAAGTTCCTACTTCCAATATTCAATGAGGTAACACGGATTTCATGATATCCTTATTTTCCTTCCATCCCATTTCCTTTTCCTTCTGATATTGTTCTTGTCTCTTTTATTGTCTAGAGAACAAAAGAAGGCAAGATTAACGCACGGATCAGAGAGGACTCCAATCAAGTGCGGCACTAGAAGCTATGTAATAAAGCTGAATCAGTTTACATCAGGTCTCTTTAAATCAAGGTTTAATGATAACTCTACCAACTAATAGTGAACAGATTTACCAAGACTGTTGTTCAAGATGATGTTGTCATGCACCCTAAGCCCTAAGGTGATGCTTGAGCAAAAAGTTAGACAATTTGCTCATGCAATTCCTTCGCAGAGTTTTGCTTCCATTTAAGGCTTTAAACTCCTGTTTACCCCTCACCTACGAATATGTCCAAAAGGAACAAGTATCATACTGCCAATTCTCAGAGCGATTCTGCCTAAGCTTTCATAATCTAAGTTGGACAAAATCCTTATTCCATGAGATGCTTGGTCAGTGGTATACTCCATTTTAAACGGTCAAAGACATCTTCTGTGGATCAAAGTTTATTGGCATAACTAAGAATCTTAAATATATTTAATCCACCTATGAGAGGTTATTCTACTATAATGAAAACCAAAAGCTAAGGGATCGCACATCATTGATTGCTTTTCTTATTTAACTGATCTCAACTGCGCACCAATATGGATAAGAAACTTCAGTCCTTTTCTAACTATCCTTTGGTAGCAACTTTCACCTTTTATTCTCCAGCGTACATGTAGAGCAACGTCGTCAAATTTGTAAACTCTATACTCACCTTAGTATAGAATCAGACATTGGGATAATATGCATGTTGAATTTGTGCCATAAATAGCCTGATATTTCTCTTTCCACTTCCATATTTTACCTCTTGATGTTCTAATCTGTTGAGACGATCTACTCCTTAGCAACAACAACAACAAACAACAACAACAAACCCAGTTTGATCCCAACAGGTGGGGTCTGGGGAGGGTAGCACTTAAAAAAAAATATGTATCCAGTTAAAAATACAATAAATAGTTTATATGGCGTTTCAGGAGGAGAAATACTAATTAGATAACTAATTAAAGCACACAAAAGTATACTTGTTTCTGATGCATATGCTGCTTCTTTAACATTGAAAAGATAGTTGAATGAGTCTGTTTTTTAAGTTGGTAATTTTGGAAAAGAAAAACAAAGTTTAATTATATAAAGCAAAGTCACATATGCACAACAATTGTGGTGGCATCTGATCAGCTGTAAACTCTATGGAACAATCTTGCCCATGTCAAGAAAAAAGTGGAAAAAAAGGGCATGCCAATGAAGTTCTTCAGTTAATGTGTAGAAAATAGATCGAAACAAAAGGGCATACCAATGAAGTTCTTCAATTAATGGGATATAGCAGGAAACTAACTTCTGTACCTCAGATTTTTCACAATACTAAGTAAAGGATCCCTCGAAATTCTCAACTGCAAAGTCTGAGGATTAAACAAATGATAGAACCACACGCCATATTTCAGCCTGCTACCTTTATTGCACCAATCTCATCAATCTTTGAGCTCTTGTGCTGCAACATTTCAGCATGTGATAACAGCAGAATTAGTTGTAGGTGTTAGTGTAAGACCAAATGTAACTTGTTCAGAACAAAACACTTGAGACTTTCTGGATACTTGTTTGGTTAAGATCGTTTGGAAGTTGTTCTTTTTAAAAAAAAAATTAATAAAATAAAAAACCTACAAAAAGGTTTGTGGTTAATTTTTGAAAATTTTAAAATTTTTGAATAAAATAATACTTCCTCCATTTCAGTTTATATGACACACTCTCCTTATTAGTCAATTCCAAAAAGAATGACACATTTCTATATTTGGAAACAAATCAACTTTAAACTTATCATTTTGTCCAGTGAGAAGTGTTTTAGCCACACACATGTCATTTCCCCACAAAGTTTTGTACCCTTAAGCTTTAACACCATAGGTTTCAAAAGTCTTTTTTTCCCATAAACTCCGTACCGAGTGAAACTACCTCATATAAATTGAAACGGAGGGAGTACACTAGCTTACACACTCACAATTCCAACCAAAACAAATGACTGTCCATACATTTTTCTAGCACAAATATTTCCTCAAGAATATCTCTCCAGGGAAAACACTTCAATAAAGTTGTTCAAAAACCATATGAATTCAAAATCATTCAGTTCTACCTTGCTTCTCTTGTGTTTGTGAACGTCATTAAGATCCTCTCCATCATGCTTCCTTTTCTGGGATCAATTAAAATATCATAATCAGTCGCCGCTATAAATACAACCGCTTTCAATTCTGTGAAGTACCACTGTTGCTTCTTGCTAAAGTCCTAAACTCGTGCAAATATTGGTGATTTTCAACTAGCAGCTCAAGTAGAAGGTAGATAAGCATCATGGAACAAGAACATAAAATGGCAAGGGGGAAAAAACAAGTTTCGCAAATAAAGTTTACAAAGTCAACCTCTCATCTAATTCAGTACGTTGACAAAACAAAAAGGTTAACAAATTCAAAGTTCAGGTTACCGCGATAGGTTAGGAGAGAGAGGATAGCTTGAGTCATATCAAAGCTGCAGCAGCAAGAAAGAGTTTTATGCTGATGTGGAAGTGTCTTAATAAACTAAAAAGTCTAAATCATACAGCAAACTCAACTTTTTGCCTCATTAACCAAAAAGCCGGGCAACAGTTCATTTCACAGGTCCTGGTCTCATTTTTCAAGAAAGATAAGCCTTTATGTCCTTGACTTTCTCCCTGTGATCCAATACAGGCAACTGACAACACAAAAGGATAACGAACTCAATAGCATCATACAATCCAGTGAAATTCAAGCAAGAGTAACTTTCAGCAAAGTTCAAATGTCACAAACGACAAAGTAAAATTTTATCATCTTTAGACAATTCTATTAAGAAAAGACAAATATTTAGCAAATTAATTTGAAAGGGCTATTCTTTAAACCATTCATCTAAACTATTTCATATTAAAAAAGCATAGGACATGTATAGTAAGAATCAACACATCGCACCAAATATCTCAAGGTTAACAAGAGGGGGTTGCTCAGATGGTCAGCACCCCCACCTATAACCCCAGGATCGTGGGTTTCGAGTCACCAAAGGAGAAATAGCTCCAACAAAAGGGGATCAAAAGGGAATCAAAGGGGAGGGAAAAAGAATATCTCAAGGTTTTGCTAGTAGCAGACCTTCTCACGATGTTTCTTCGAATGATCAGCACCAGAATCATGATGACCACTTTTATCTCTATTTTTCTCTTTATCCTTGTCTTTGCTTCGATCTTTATGCCGATGTTTGTGTTTCTTATGCTCTTTGTCCTTCTCCTTGTCCTTATCTCTGTGCTTTTTATGCTTCTTATCCTTGTCTTTCGACTCACTTTTAGATTTTCCAGCTACAGTTGGGATGCCTTTCTCAGACTATGAAAAAAAGAAGTTAAAACATTACTTAAAAGACGCTTACACAAATGAACTATTGTCGCCCAAGCTTCACTCAGTAAATTTCTTACAGGAGGCAGAACAACTGGAGCCGCTTCACGTAGTTGAAAAGCTTCTCCAAGAACATCTAGGTCAAACGGCTGGATGCGGGAACTCGTCTCTCTTGACAAGGAAGTGTCCTGTATAAGCTGATCCAACTGCATCCCTTCCCCTTTCCTAATTTCTGTGTCTCCCACCACATTGTGAAGATAGTGGGCATCTGAAATAGACAACGGAAGTGACCTCTTGCAGAAGAACTCGTGATGAGGCAACAATTTGAAGTGACTGATAAGATCCACAGCACCTGTAAGTTCTCTGGGCCCTGGTGGTGCATTTTGACCATATCAAAAACAGTTATAAACTAATTCTTGATTAAAAACAACAGGCATTCTAAAGAGAACAAAACCTGAATTTTAATTCATCATCAGAATATCAATAGATAAATCTAAGCCCTTTGAGAAACCTGATACTCTTTAGCAGTCCAGCATCTTTCCAGCACCTCACATGTGACTAAAATATCAACTACCTTTGCTAAGATTTAATCAACTTTGGCTTATAATAGTCACAATGATCCCGAACTCAAAGAATATTAATCTGACAGCTAACACCATCCGGATGATGAAGGAAAATGCTTGAGAATACATTGCTTTGTGATATAAACTTCTACAAAATTCTATGATAAACAATGTAAAGCCCCAAAGATAACATTAGCATTACTAGTCCTTTATCTTTCTCCCGAATGAACAAAGATAGATTTGTCCTAGTGCTGCAGAAGAACCACACAAAAATGAGAATGCAGTACAAGATCATTTCTAAATCCGGAAAGAGATAACTGGCCCACACACGAGGATTGCAGAAGCAAATAAATCAGCCAGCTGCAGATTTGAGCAAGATACTGATGAAATGAAGCATTTTACTGTAAATCAGAACCTAGCTATGCAAATAAAGACCCTCACGATATCAAATGTCTGCAGTAGTCAATGCAGGGCAACATGCAAAAAGACTGTATGTTACAATTCTGTTTCAAAGGGAACATAATGCTGTAAGGGTCTTACCTCTTCCAAAACTCTTGCTATCAGGATCCATCAATTAGCAACAAGTACGTAGGTACAGCATTATCTCCTGGCAAGTGTTGATAGGTTAGAAACAGTCCAGAACTATCTTTTCTGGGAACATTAAGAATACAGCACTGAAATAAAAACAAAATGGATCGAATAAGCAGAAACCTAAGTTGCGCGGACTCTTCGATTTTGGTGCCGTCCCCATCCCGATAGGAGACGGGGACGGGAGCGGGATACATCCCGGATTCAGTCAACTGACTTCGGACACTTTGACCGGAGCCCATCGACAAATTTGGGAGAAAATTTGAGATTTTGATTTCTCACAATCAAAAATAAAACAGATTTAGGAGAATGAAAGAATAATGTCCATCTTGAAGAATGAAAGATTGAATTCTATAATATTCATGTAAGTTTTTCACAGAATAGCTCTCAAAATTTACAATATTTTTATAGCTCTATTTTTTATTAGCCGAATACCCGCACCCCTATCCATATCCATACCCCGGATCCGCACCCCCAAATCTTAAAATTTAGATTTTGCCGAATCCGATACTCGGATTCGTCCCCGTATCGGATACCCACACCCGAGTCCGAGCAACTTAGGCAGAAACTAGAAGATATAACAGTAATGTTGGGACCACCATACAGAACCAGGAGGTATTAAAAGGGTTCATCAACCTTTTTGGTATCTTGTCCAAAGAAAAGCTACCTGATGCTCTCATTTTGCATAAGCTCTACTGGTCTAACATAACCAAGACATGAAGCGTGGGGAAAAAGAATGCGACAAAACAAAGCTAACTCCAGAGCAAAAATACAACCTTCTTTGGTGAAGCTAAATAGATAATTCAGAATGTGGGTTCACACAGAACTATTCTTTCAGTTTCTAACGCTCCACCTTCCAGGAGGGTTGGGAAGTCTTAAAGTGGACATCCACTGATACTTCGAAAAAGAAAGTGAAATAAAATAAAACTAAGAAAACCAAAATCTACTAAGAGATGAAGTAGGCAAGAAGTTACTCAATATTCGGCACTATGCTTTTCACAAGATGTAGCAGGTTCTTTCTTTTTTAGATAAGTAAGGAGGCACGTTGTACTTAAGCAATGATGTCCACATCTACAATGGTAGGGCAGAAGAGAAAGACGAAAAAGGAAGTGGTACTGGATGTCCAATCAGATTGTTAATGGGGAAACCAGAAAAAGTCCCCCCAAAAGAGAGAGGGGGGGGGGGGGGGGGGGAGATTAAGAGAGAAAGCTACTTGTTTTTTTTGTAGCAATCACAAGGACAGGAATTGCAAACTATCAAGACATCAAAATTTTATACAAAATTAACAATGACATAGTTCCCAATTGCAAAAGATTGATAATTTCTTTTCCTTTTTAATAATTAAATACCACATCATCTAAGCAGTGGAATTACTACAACATTTTATTCTAAGTTTGAAATATGCCTATCAAAACATGCAAAAAGGGATACCCAACTAAACAACTCCTGACAGAGATTTTTTGCACTGCAAATATCTCACTAACAAAAAGTAGATGTGCAAACTCTTGGTGATCATGACTCAAAAAAATTGATTATCCAATCATCATCTCTTCTTTCCGTATTCCTTTTCAACAGCTAACATCAATTCTCACATTCCTCATTCAGCAAAATCTCATACTTACAAACTTCAATTATCAGAGACGTCTCCCAAGAAATAGCAGATTATCAGCCTAAGTTCAACATTTACAGACTATTACTTCACAAATATTACAGGATCAAGCAATTTAAGTTTTGACCAGTAGCCATCACAGTAATTGCGCAACTTACCAGAACAATAAGACTACTAAAGGGAATAAGGTTAACTAAAGGGTAAGCAGAGAGTTGAACTCCGAACACCAACCAAAGTAGATAATTCCTGCCCTCTCTCAAATTCATTCACCACCTCCGCTGCCAAAGTTCCCAAATTTAACATACAGAATATACGCAGTACTAAAAAATTCGGATACACACCAAAGATCAATAACATTAAAACAATATACAACGTGGACGTTCCAAATCTCTAGTCATTTAACATATTTCTGTCACCAAGGAAACATCTTGATCTCAGAATTTAAACATCAATATAACCGTTGGAAGACATAATACGAGCAAAATTTCCAACTAGGAAAAAGGAGCTTACTCGATGAAACAGAGAGATCGAAGAGGTAAATGTGAGCTTCGCGAAGCACGAATTCCAATCAAATATGCTCCAGAAGCAAGCAATTCAACTCAGGAATTAGGGTTTTAGCAATTGACCACAAGGCTTCGTCTTAGAATAAATAATTTGTTTCTGATACGCTCGTTCTTGAACTGAAATAAACCCTAATTCCTCTTGGGCATAAAATAGTTGAATAACGATTGGCTCAGGAAAGAAGAAAACGGACTTCTCGCTTTTGCTTCTATGATGATACTGCAACCTTATTATATTATTATCATTATTATTGTAATAGTAATATTTTATTCTTAGATACTTTTCCTATATTTCTAATTGGACATTTACTGCCCCTGATCTGGACTATGTTGGAGGGAGCTTTCCGTCATTTCAGAGTACCATTGATGACGACGACTGACAGTTCTCCATGAAAGGAGGAAATAGAGGTCATGGGTTGGGCAGAATTTTTTTTTTTTCTAAAACAAAATAGATGATAAATCGAATGTGATAAAATTATGTTGAATTGAGAATTTGAAAGATTTTGGGTGTGCTTGGTAATGTTTTCAATTTTTCCATATTTTGTTGGCTTAAATGTTTTAGAAAATATTTTCCTCATGCCTCCAATTGAAAAATTAGCAAGGGAATATTTTTCAAAAGTCGTTCTCACCGCAACCAACCACACCCACCCCACCCAAGCCTTACCCCAACCCCAACACCACCCCACCCTATGCCTACCCACCTCACACCTCATCTTCATCCCCACCCTACAACAACAACAACAACAATAACATACACAATAAAATTTCACAAGTAGCGTCTGAAAGAGTAGTGTGTATGCAGACCTTACCCCTATCTGGCGAGGTAAAGAGGTTGTTTCCAATAGACTCTCAGCTCAAGAAAGATGAAAAAAGAGAAAGGAAGAAGACGAAGAAAAAATAGGAAGAAGAAAGAAAAAATAGAGGGATGAAGTATGATAAGGAAAAGGGGAGAAAGACAACTATACTAACAACAAGAGCAACAACGACGACGGCGACGAAACCAGTAACCAAAAATAGCATCAAACAATAGCAGACTGGAACATACGATATACAGAGCGAACGAAAAAAACAAGGGAGCTACTAATACTACTAAAAAGAACGAGGAACTCTCGACTACCTACTAGCCAACTCCATCCTAATCACCTTTCCCATCCTCATCCTAAATAAAAATATTATTAATAATACTTTCTTTTCATGTTATAGATATGTTTTTTTTGTTTTGCATTTCAATAAATGAGTATTTTTTTATATATGATATAAAAAAGTATTTTTTTATTTCAACAAAAATAGTACTTTCTTTTCATAGAAAAAGTATTTTTTTCATTTCAACAAAAAAAAGTAGTATTTTCTTTCATTTTAACAAAAAAAGGTATTTCTTTTCATGATGTAGAAAAAATATTTTCTTTTATTTCAAAAAAATGAGTACTTTATTTTTATGCTGTAGAAGAGTACTTTATTTTTCAACCAAAAAAGAGTATTTTCTTTTTAGTTGTGGAGCACAAATTTTAACGTTATTTTTGCGTAAAAAAGTAAAGCAACACATTAGTTCCTTTGGGTTTGTGTGAATTTGAACAATTAAATTCTTGAAGAAAATAGAGTCCTGAAAACGTTGGGTATTTGAAGGGAGGGGGGTGATCAAAGCAACATGGGGACTTGGAAGAATGGGGGTGAGGAGAGTAACATAAAAAGGTATTTTCTACTCTCTAACCAAGCACTAGAAAATATTTTCCGGAAAAGATTTTCCACTCACCAACCAAACAAGGAAAAATAAGTGATAAAACTACTCATTTTCCATGAAAACATTTTACATAGAAAACATTTTCCTTCGTACCAAACACACCCGTTATCTTTATTGATTTCTTCCACGCAAATTGGATCAATCGAGCCCGTGAATATCTTTAAAAAAAATTGTGCAAATTTGGTTCTATGAAAAAGAGAAAAAAGAGATATTGTAACCTAAATATGATAGGTGTGAGATTAGCTGCTGTATAGAATGTTTTGTGGATTATGTGTGACAGTGTCTATCTTATTTGAAGATTCATGACGCATTCATATTTATGGTGGATATGCCACAAACTAAGTAGATTGGTGACCACACTCAACAACTAGATTATTGTTACATGTCGTTTCATAATATATCATATCGTATTGTATTGTATTATATGATGAGTATAATGTCTGTATAGATTATATTATTTGCGTCGTTTTATGATATCATGCACCAACAATATGAAGAATAAACTTGCAATATTACTAAAAGAAAATAGGATATGGAATGTGTGTGTGTATATATATATATGGGGGGATAGAAAAGGTGACTTGGCATCTCTCTTTGGCCAAAGATCCTATTTATCTTTTTTCTCCTTCTTTTTTTTTTACCTTTTTCCCTTTCATTCTTTTTATTTAAATTATTTAATAATTGAAAGATGATTATTTTCTATCGTATTAATTACATCAGTTAACCATTCTGCCCATAAATACGTTCATTACAATTATTAATACACTTATTATCCTTTCTATTACAATTACTCAATATAGGTTGCATTTTTTTTTCCTATTACTCAGTGTAAGTTACTACTTTTATTTTGGTTACTATAAATAGTAAAGCATATCTTTTCCTTTGCATCACTCTCATCTCTTCTTCTTTTACCATTCCTTCTCCTTTTCATTTGAAATTTTTTGTACAGAAGTTCTCTTCTTCTTTTTTATCGACTTTTTCTTTACATTATTGGTGTTTTTGCAAGAGTTATTTGTTCATACACAATATTGGTGCATAACTTTCATTGGTTAGGGAGTGAGCAAGAGAAGAACATATTGCATTATTTGTGGGCAATATTTAGGATTCAACTTCAACCTTGATAAGTACACTACCATTTACTCCAGGCTTGTAGTTATAGTGTGAATTTATATGTAATAAACAATGACTCTGCCTTTTTTTTTCTTGCATTAAAATGCTTTTTATTTTATTTTAGGAATGATTGTAATAAATTTTGCACTGAATTTTAATTATTGTTTTATTATTTTAAAAAGAATTGAGAAAGTATGGTTACATGCTCAAACAAATGACAATTTGAGAAAATATGATTATTTTTCTCATCTGGAAACAATTGATATGGTTTGTGTCCTGTCACCTTTTAATGACCTTTTGACTATTTATAAAGAGATTGTCTCGCTATTTTTTTTCAAATTTATTATGCTTCTCTATGTAGTTTACAACTATGTATCTCTTAAACGGTATTTTCCTGGACTCCTCTCTATTATGTTGTAATGGCAGAAATAATAATCAAGAGAGTTAATTTTGAGATTTTTATAAAATTAGTAGAAAAAAGGATAATTAAGTTAATTGTTCAAGGAAGGATAATAATTTCTCATTTGTTGGAGGGTTTGAATATGAGAAAGAAAAAGAAAGAAAAAAAAATGAAAATAACACTTGAGAGATATCCGAGCATTTGATTATGCATTTTATTGGTATGTGATTTTTATAAGTTTATGCATATAAAGTTTGACTTTATTATATCTATTAAATCATAAATACAATATTTTTATTGGAATTAGAGGTTGTATGAACAAAAGGTCACATTTAAATATGTGTGTCTTTTTTCTCCTATTCAAAAAAAAGAAAAGAAACATGAAATGGAATTAAAAAAACTAAAAACATAAAGAAAATCGAACAAGTTATAGTCACTTACCTTTCTTGAAGATTCACAAATTTTTTTTGCAAGGTAAAGTACATATAATTATAACTAACTGTATAATTTTTTCATCAACTCAAGTACTTATTCATAGATACCGAAGAAACTTTTAAGAAAATAAAGAACCTTTAACATTCAAGAAATGCTGAAGGCCCTAGTATTAGTGGACAGTGGACATCAATTCGAGAAGACTGACTAAAAATAAAAGAAATATGAAGAGTACGAACAACAAAAGGAACGACCTCATCTTCATGGAGGTTGCTTTTTCACGTAGCTTTAGCATACCTCTAAGAACAAACTTCTTAATATTTTCGGTTAATTCTTGAAAGCTCTTCGTTGAAAATCAATTTTTGATACCATATATATAGTATGCAATTTAGCTCTGCATACTCTATAATATCCTTCTTAATTTGGCCTTTGTTTGCCAAAGTAAGAACACTGTTTTTATGGATTAAAGACATGGATTAAAGTGATATGGCCGAATAGTATAATGAATTGCTTGCGTAATTAATACTATAATTTAGTTTGTCTAAGGCTACCGATTAATGATATTCATTAGTGTTACTTTTAATTATCTTTTAAAGGATTTGATTGCGAAAATATTTTTACACCTTTAATATATAGAACTTAAAGTTATTTTTAAATTTATTTATTTGACTTTAGTTTATGTACATTGATACTAAAAGAGAAATTTGAATCACTCTATAGTATCGATTTATATAAGATTAACTCTTTACTTTTTTATGTCCTTGACCTTTTTGAATTTTCACAAAGTTCTTAAATTATGTGCGCAGAATATGTATAAATTTTTATACATTAAACTAAGTTCTCCACTTCGTATAAAAGCACACTTAATTAATCAACAAAGATTGATTTTTTTAATAAATTATGACATTAGACATATTTTGATTTTTTTTATAACTACGCGAAGCGCGGATAAATTCACTAGTATTATATTAAAAAGTAGAGTAAAAAATAAAATATGATTATTTAATAATAAGGAAAGATGAGAGAAAAAGGTAAGGTAACGACACCACCACACCAAATCCGTCGTTCCATAAAGTTACACTTTTTGTAGTTATGTAGCGATGAATTTAACAATACGATACAATAAAATTTAAGTAACAATCAAAACAAACATTATAGTTAAAGAAACAATATGATACAATAAAATAGGTAACAACCATCCAAACAAGCTTTAAAGGGGAAAATTTATATGATATTATGAATATGGTTTGATTTTTTACCTCTAAATTTTCTTCTTTTATATATAATATAAAGTCAATATATCAGCGCTAATGTAGCATAAAATTGGGGCATCAGCGCGATTTTGAAACTCACTTCAAAATACGGATAAATCAATTCTGGAGAGGTCCCAAATTATTTTTCGATTGTAGTTGCTATTTAGCATGCTTATTACAAGCTCATTTAATTCTTGATTTTTTTCTGAGCTAAAAGTTTTTATTTGTTATGCCAGACTGTAAATGTGCATTTAATAATATATTGCAAAACTTATGGAGCTCTTAAATTAGATGTTTAAT